CATGCAGAATTCAGATTTAAGTGTGTGTGTGTGTGTGTGTGTGTGTGTGTGAGAGAGAGAGAGAGAGAGAGAGAGAGATGAAAGAGAGGGATGGGGAAGGGTAGTGAGGGGCTGAATATGAGCAAGGCATAATAATATGTATATATGTATGTAGAATGTCATAGTGAAACTAATTATTTTGTTCATTAGAAAGAAGTAATATAAAAATAACTTTTTTGTTATAATTACTTTTGAGTAACTATGTAACACGTTCCAGTGTCTGAAGGCCCTCCTTAGAGTTGTTTTAAGGTGGAGGACAGTCACCTCCTCTTGTCTCCCTGTGCAGATGACACTGTGATTTCTCCCATATTTGATGAAGCTCTCTCCTCATGCCGCATCTTCCGTTAGCAATATCTCTCAGAAGAATTGTCTACAGCTGTACACCCAATTCCTCTTGATTCTCCCTTCTTCAACCTCTTCCAATCATGCTTCCTCTTGTCTCTGAAACTGCTGGTGTCAGGGTGAAGAGTGGGCTCTAAATCCCTTAATCCAGCAGTCAGTTCTCCACCTAACTTCATTCATGGTGGGCATTGGACCAACGGATGACTCTTTCCTTCTCCCAACATTTCCTTGACTCAAGGTTTGTAGTAATAAGAGCGGCGGGGCTGCATCCCCAGCACCCCAGCCGCCTGCTAGCTTATGCTCCGAAATAACAACACACAAACTGTATTCTTTTAAACACTGCTTGGCCCTTTAGCTCTAGCCCTTACTGGCTAATTCTGATATCCAGATCAACCCATCTCTAATAATCTGTGAGCACCGGTCTTACCGGGAAGATTCTAGCCTACGTCCATCCTGGATCGGAGCTTCATCACGTGCGTCTGCCCGGGAGCGGGGGCATGGCGACTCTCTGAGGCGTCTGCCCCTGAGAGGAGAGCTGTCGAGTCTGAGCTCACTTCCTCTTCCTCCCAGCATTTTGTTCTGTTTACTCCACCCACCTGTGTTTTAACCTATGAGGGCCAGCCAAGCAGTTTCTTTATTTTTTTAACCAATGACCTTCCTCCATCAAAGGTTCAGAACTTCTCTCCCAGTTCATCAACATGCATCATTTTTAGGAGATGGGAGTCAATGTATAATGTCTGTTCCTCCCACTCCAGCCCACTGTGACAATTGAGACTCTAGTCTTCCACCTTGGGCTCATCAGTGAGACCTCCTCTTTCTCTGAGGTGTTGGGGATTTAAGTTAGAGTCTTATAATGCTCTGCCATTTTTTTTTCCTCATTCGTTCATCACAGCATCTGTCCCTCCTGGCTCCGCCCCACACACCCACCAATCGGTCCAGCCTTTGTTTTGATTTTAAGACAAGGTCTCTCTAGATTATCCAAGCTACTCTCAAATTCATTGTATAGCACAAGCTGGCCTTGATCTCGTGATCCTGCTCTCAGTCTCCCGAGTAGCTGGGTTATTGGTGTATGCTCTGCTTGTTACACACCACCAGAGAAAACGGCAGCACCTACAGTCTTCCGTCATCTGTGTTAGTCACATTGGCCTCGTGATGGTCTCTCTGCCCTGCTCTTACCTCCCCGTAGAAACCACTGTGACAATAAACACTGCTGGATAGCATTGCTGCTCTGTTCACACCTTCATGGCTCTCCATGGAGATTCCTAAGGCTTGTATAATAAGCAAGGAATGAGATGGCCGTATACCTGTATTATGTTTGCTCAGCTTCCTCCCTCACTTCCATCTTCCTCTTTGTGGCTTCTGCCTCTGTCTTTGTGTGTGCTTATTTCTACAGCATAGGATATTCTTTTCCAGGATGAGGGCTTGGCTCACCCCTCTCCCTCCTTTGCTCTTTCCCCAAGAATTTCTGTCTTGCCAGGATTTTCTCTGACCAACAATGTAAAACTGCAGCCCTCACCAGTTCCCCCATATATCCATCTCCTGTAACAATGTTCTGTCTGTAACATTGTTGCATCTGACATAGTGTATGACCTATTGCTTCTTGTCCATCTCCTTCATTTGAGTGCATGTATCCTGGAGGCAAAACTATTTATCTTTAATGGTCACTGTTGCCCCCTCAAGTCAGGAGTGGGTCTGCTACATAACAGGCAATCATGAAATATTTGTACAAGGAATTAAGAATAATTCTAATAGTGAGGTATTAACAATGATTTACAACTCTCAGAGTGTCCTTAGCACTGATCACATGCCCCAGGAGCTTAGTGAGGTAGATCTTACTGTCTGCATTTTGTAGACAAGGAAATTAAAGTGTGATGATGTGGTAGGTCTCAGAGCCGACTGCGGGTCACAGGGCTAGATGTGGCTTTGGAATCAGACCACCCAGGTTTGAATTCTCATCCTTCCTCTCTGTGAGCATTCTTCAGTGTGTTCCAGACTCTCTTGCAGCTTTGAGGGTAGTCACAGTTTTCATGTCATACAAATGACAAGAAAATTAAATGAGCTAATCCCTGAGATGTAACTAGTAAATAGTGAGCACTTGGTAAATGATGGTTTTTTTTTAAGCATTGTTTTTAGATTTATTGTTATTGTACTTACATCGATAAAGCAAAAAAAATAAAATAAAATTGTGAAGGAAGGCTTCTCTTTCAGGATCTCTATTTTCTTTTGGCATCGGCTCCTGTTGTAGCATTGTTCTAAGATAGAGGAGACTAGGATTTTAAAAGAATAGCTCAGTATGGCTTGGGTCTGAACAAGTGTGTGGCGGGTTGGTGTATAATGCCTGCGAGAGTGTGTTACGTGTGCTCCCGTGTCTTTATTTTCCATTTGCCCTGAAAATTGATAGATTTCCAATTTAGAGCAAGGGGGGATGAGGAGGGAGCTGGAAAATGGAGCTGCCCATCATAATTAGCAGGGAAGTGGGTAAAGGTCACTTGATTACAGCTTGGCTGCCTCAGAATTAACCTGCATAAACGGAGACTTGTTGAGTTTGCAGCTCTTTAAAGCGCATATTAACACTGGGAGGGAGGCAAGGAGACACCCAGAGAGAAGGTCAATTTGTGGTTGCTCAAATCAGCAGGGCTCCTGGAGAAACTTGGCTGGAGGAGCTAGCTCTGGGCCACTGGGGCAGGGGCCTGCTTTGTGTATGAGGGGAAGGTGGGTGCATCTTGAGGTGGGGTGCTTCTGAGATCTGACTGGTCCTGGGAGAGCTGCTGTAGCCTGGAGGGGCAGCAGCAGCAGAGAGAATTAAGAAGTGAGCGTTGCATCCAGTGGCAACTGCAGATTCATTAATCGTCTGCAGGGAAAAGAATAGGAGGCATTTATATGATAAAGAAGCTAGAAAATTAGAGGCAGCAGCAGCGCTGTTTACTGTTTTTATTTTATTTTTATTATCACTAAATTGCTTCAAGTCACCTGTAATTTTCCCAGGCCGTCACAATTACAAATCTTTGAGGGTTACACAGATGCGCACAATCAGAAAGGCGTAATTTAAACTTTAGAGGTCTGGGAGCCTCAGCTACTTGGTATTACCGCCTGGCAGCTGGTGTGGCAGGGAGGGTCACTGAGGAGGCCCCTAAAGCAGGTGTTAACCTCCTCCTCACCCCCAGCTTCTTGGTTTTACCACTACTTTGGGACATGATTGGTCATTAAGGCATCTATGCACTAGAGGGAAGGAAGGGCACAGTCCGAGGCTGGATTCCTGCTGTGGTGAGGGAGTCTGTCCATTACCCTTTCTAGTTGTGCCTCAGTCTCCCTGGCTGTAATGTTGAGGCACAGTGTACAGGTTTGTGATGTGCTGATTGGGGACTATGGCTCCCGTGTTCTGCTCACGGTGTGGACTCCTGCCTGAGCTTCTGCCCTGCAGTACTGTTCTGACACTAGTCCCTTGGAGTTAACATCAGATTGTAAAAGCTAAGGAAGGTCACTAACAGAAGACTAACCACATATCAGATACAAATGCGCTCTCGAGTTGCTACAGTTTGGATCTGGAACATTTCCCCAAAGGCCCTGTGTGTAAAAGGTTTCATCCCAGAAGTGGGGGAACTTTGAAGAGGTAGGGCCTAGTGGTTGGAAAGAAGTTAGGTCCTTGGGAGCATGTCCTTGATGGGGCTATGGGGACTCCAGCCACAGGGACCTCTCTTTCTGACTGCCACACACTCCCACCATGGTAAACTGCTCCACCATAGCCCCAGAGCAACAGGGCCAAGTGATCATGAAGGAAACCTCCCGAGGCCATGAGCCAAAACAGACCTGGTCTTCCAGCTGTTGTTTATTTGGGGTGTTGTGTTTCAGTTGAGGAAAGCTGGCCAACATGCTAATACAGGATAGAAAAGGCAATATCTTTTTTGAAAGGCTTATAACAAAAAAAGCACACCTTAAAAATTTCCTTTTACAAGCTCTAAGGGAACTGGTTAGTTGTAGAGCATCATGTGTGCAGTTTGAGTGAATGACATGTTGGGGTTCAATACCCAGGACATAGATCTGCATGCCATAGGGACTCTGAGAAACAGAGGCGCAGATCCTTAAGGAAAAGCATATGTATTTATGGGCAGTTGTATGAAAGTGTCAGTAGAGGTTGGATAGGTGTAACCATGGTAACCAGGGTGGACACCTGGCTATTCAACTTCCTCTTGGTGTTGCCTCTTCCGGCTGAATGGAGAGCAGGACACCTGCTGCTTGAAGCCCTTCAGGGGAGGAGTGAGACACAAGGTCAGAGCAAAGCCTCCCCAGGGCCTGAGGAGAGCTGAGCTTCCTTGAAACATCCTGTCTAGATTTAGAATCACCATGGAAACACCTCTGAGTGTGTTTTGGAGGATGCTTCCAGAAAGGCTTAACTGAAGAGGGAAGGACCAACCCCAAATATAGGCAGCACCATCCTAAAAGCCGGGGTTCTGGATGGAATAGGAAGGAGAAAGTAAGCCGAGTACATCCACCCTCCACCTTCTGCCCCTGATGGTCATGTGACCAGCTGCCTCATGCTCCTGTCACCTAACTGTCCTCACGATGGGCTGCAGTCTGAAACCAGGAGCCAAAATAAACCACACTTCCTTTGCTTTGACCAGGTATTCTGTCAAGGTGTGAGGAAAGTTAAACGCATGCCTGTGCTTAGGGCCTCTGCCAAGGTGAAGGGTGTTCTGGTCTCTGTGTCCTCTTCAGAAGCAAGATGGCAGGTAAGAGAGAACGCTATGCTTGTACAGCTTTTTCAGTTTCCTTCAGCTTAAACTACATAGCATGCCAATGTATCATCTTTTGGGTACCACTTCCTACACCTTACCACCAGCCTACTGGTATTTCTATCTTACTTTTTAATTTATCTTTTGACAGGCTCTCACTATGTAGCTCTGGCTATCCTGGAACTCACTTTGTCTATAGATCTGGGTATTCTTGAACTCACAGAGATGTGCCCATCTTTGCTACCCTAGTGCAGAGATTAAAGGCATGCCAACATACCCTGCTCAATCGTTTTTTTAAAAAGAAAAACTCACAGAATTTTTTGAAAACATGTGCACATGATAATGGTTTTATTACAGAGAATAATGCAGGAGCTGCCAAATGGGCTAGTGATTGGTGTAGCCACTCCAGGGTTGTTCACACACTCTGAGCATGCTGCCCTTAGAGCGCACCAATGTGCTCTGCTTGGGTGTCCAGAATTTTCATGCGTGTTTCATTATCTGGACAAAACTGACTTAATGAGGGGCCTTGAGATTGAACTCAGTCTTCAATTCCTCTCCCGTCCCCAGAGGTTGGAGGTTGGGGCTGAGTGCCAACTCTAATCCCATCCTTGGTCTTTCTGACATGCCAGCCTCACTCTTGAAATCAGCTAAATTATTAGTCTGAATAAACTTGCATGGTCGAGAGAGATTTGTATGGAATAACAAAGATACCTTATCAGGAAATTTCCAAGAGCATTTGGAGCTCTGTGCCAGGTACTAGGGACCAAAACCAGACATCCATGGCACAGAGCTTCCATGATGGTAGAGCAAAGTCGTGTTGTGAGGACCACCTGAGAGCAGGAACCAGAAAGGCACTGGGGAGAGCAGGAGACTTTTGAGACCTTAGAATTGACCCCCAGTGACACACCTCCTCTAACAAAGCCATACCTCCTAATCCTTCTCAAACAGTTCCAATTGGGGACCAAGTATTCAAATATGTGAGCCTATGGGAGCCATTGTCATTACAACTACCACAGGTGTAAGGAAACTGGCTTTTTAAACAAGTTCTTAAGAACTCCATAACCAATTTCCCCTTCACAGGTGGCCTTGTCTTTGACTTACGGTAAATGTGGTACAAGTTAAGAAGTGTCATCTTGCTGTCTGGTAAACAGTAGGCACTCCATAGAAGTCTTTGGAACAAATGTGGGGCACCAAAAAATACATTGAAATCTCCCCCACTCCATTGTAATTGCTGTTGTGTGCTCATGTCTTCCTGTCTCCACAGCTGCTGGCCCCACACAGACTTCCCCTCTCGCCACTCTCCCTCTTGCATCCTCGGCATGGGCATGGTATCTTTCTTTCCACCATACTGCCCCTGCACCACAGCCCTCCACAGGCCCCCATAGGGCAGCTCTCCCATCCTCTAGTTCCGCTGTCTCCGACCAATGTGCACTACTTTATGTCTTGCACTGTGACAGCACCGTTCTCCCACTTTTCTCTACTACAGTTAGTCCTTCATCCCCACATCCCATCTGGGCATCTTTCTCTTATCCACTTTTTTTTCTTTCTATCTCACACCCATCCCTTGGGCTAGAAGGAAGCAGTATGAGGGGCCTACCTGGTCTTGAGGTTTACTCTCCCTGATCTATTGTAGTAGCTCCTTGTTCTCTGAAGTTTACCCTTTATAGTATATAGAACACCTGGCCCAATTGATCATATTCAGACTGAGCTCTCCTACTGATGTATAGCACACAATGTTACTTTGCCTCCTCATTGCTAATGCCACAGTTCGGACCCTACCTATTTTCCCTGTTTATCTTCTGCCACATCCTTAAACCTCCATTTCCCCAAACCCCATATTTCCACCATCCTGATTGAACCCCTGCTTCGTGCTCTAACCCCCTTATGTACATTCTTGCTGTTTTCTCAATGCCCTTCCTCCTTCTGCTCATCCTTTCTGCTCTACTCAACCACAAAGATACCTGCTCTTAGAAGTGTTCCATCAGTCTGACACATAAAGTCACCCTTAGAGTCACACAGAGTGTCTGTAGCTCTGCAGTGCTCCCTTCTGCTGTACCCATCATGCCTTGCCCTAAATTATTTATACATGTGTGTTGATGTTGAGATTTTTCAGATCCTTGAATACTGGAGACAACAGACTAACTGACAGGAACTGCTATAATTGGTTAAGCACTTCTATAAATACTAAGTCCTTCATAGAGAGTAACTTCAAGCCCTTAACCATTCTTCAATGTAGTTCTTAGTGTTTCTAGAGGTGAAGACAAAACTGACAAACTCAGACTGACTTCCTGTCTTGTTATCTTTCCATTTCACAGTACGGCTTCTTGGGTGGGGTAGAAAACCCACACTTATTGAACGTTTCTATGTGGGCTGGAGTTGGCAAGGGTCCAAAATGGAACAAGACAAACCTCAGGAAATAATTGCTGTGAAATTGACCAGCACCTACCTTGCCTACAGTAGTTGCTGAATAAATGCTAGGTGAGGAATGGATGGACTCAGTGTCTACTCTGTGGTGTGCTTGCTTCCAGATCAGAGGCTGAATCTCCTGTGTAAGCTGTAGAAGAGGCTTTGGGGTGGCCTGAGGCCTCTTTCTGACCCAGCACATACACTGCCACTGACCTTAAACCAATCTCAGACTTTCCAAACAGAACAATGAAGAAACCAAGGCAGTTTTGTTCTGTTTTTTTTTTTTTTCTGAGATCTTTCCAACTCTAGTAGGTGAGGTAACCGGGGGGGGGGGGGGGTGAGGGGGGGAGCGGGGCCAATGAGTTACAAACACACCAAGCAAACACCAACAAAAGTGATTGTCTTAATACTTGGGACATTTTTGTTGTGAAGACATTTTACTGGGGTTGAAGAAGACAGAATTATTTCATTTCAGAGCCAAGATTGTGAGATCCAAATCCACGATTCTCTCTAGCAGCAGGGAGAACTGAGAGAGCATAAATAGCTACCGATTCCTGTTGGGGGCACTGCTGGGGAGTTCCTGCTCTAATGGGGAACCGACTTCTGTGGGACCCTGCAATGCTTGGCAGACAATGTCTCCAGGGCGAGTTAGCAGAAGTAGTACTTGATTTGATTAAGGGAATGAGATTTGCTTCAAGTAAAACAAAGACTGGAGAAGTTCTTCACTTGGCTCCCAGGTCCTGGGCCTGCTGGCCTGGCCTTGCCTTCCTCCGTCCTGCCCTCCAGCATCTTCCAAGAAAACAGGACCCCTTTCCAAATGTTCTTTAAAGGGGCCCATCTTTTGTTGTGGTGGTTATCATAGATAAATGGATCAGTACTTTAGGGCACCCTGTGCCTATTAATTTGGGGAAGGGTCAAAGGTGAATGGAAAGAGCCCCTTGGTGGCAGAGCTGATGGATGTGGGTCCTGGCGTACAGAGCGACACTCAGCACCCCACAGACTTAGTGTGTCTACTCTTTGGAGGGCTGTGCCTTGGGTGCTGCTCTGTGCCCTTTCTCTGTACTTTCTTATTTGATTTACTCAACTGCTTTCTGGGGAGGCCACTTGGCTTGAGAGAGACGTGAATCCTACTAGGATTCTAAGACAGGTCTGTGCTGAGCAATAACATGATCGTCCATTCAACATGCCTTCGGCTGAGCAAGTGGAATGTGGAGCGGATGGGAAACAGTGAGAACAGAAGAGCGAAGGGCAAGGGATTGAGTCCCAGTGGATCTTAAAGTTGCCAGGCTGACTCGGGGGAGCCACTAAGGCACCTCTGCCTTTGTTGAGGTCCTGTTAGAAGAGACACAGTGCTAATAAGACATTGCATATCCTCACCAATTTCATCTTCACAGTGACCACACGTGATAGGTGTTTATGATGGTTATTTCAAAAAAGATTTTAGACAATTTTAATTATGTGTATATGTGTGTGTCTATGTGCATAAGTGCATGCGTGGGTGCCTGTGGAGGGACAGGCAGTTCTGAGCTACCTATTGTGGATGCTGGGAATTGAATTTGGGTCCTCTCTAAGAGCAGCTGGTGCTCTGAACCACCTCTCTAGGCCCTGTGCTGGTTGGTTTTATGTGACAACTTGACTGGGCTAAGATATGTCCAGGTTTCTGATAAAGCATGGTTTCTCCATGCATCTATGAGGATGTCTTTTTCTGGAAGAGATTAGCATCTGAGTCTGGAGATCAGCTGAAGGAGATTGTCTTCACCCATGTGCACGGGTATCATCCAATCAGCCATCAGTTCAGACACAATAAAAAAGAGGAGGGAGGAAGAATTGTCCCTTAAAGCAGAGGAATACATCTTTATATGTATTTATACATCCTCAGGTCTGGGCTTTCCTGTCTTGGAGCCTTCAAACTCTGGAATTCATCAACCTTTCTTTATCTGTTGCCCTTGACCAGCTCCTCAGTTGCCAGGTCTTTGTACTTGACTGATTGACTCCACCAATATTCCTGACTCCTAACTTGCAGAAGGCAGATCATGGGGCCTCTCAGTTTCCATAATTACATTAGTTAGTTCCCATAGTAAATTCTCTTGTGTATGGATATAGTGTAGATCTGTCTCCTACCAGACATTTTCTACCAGATCAAGGACAAACATCCTGCCATGGTCACTCCACCAGGGAGAGCTGTTCGAATTTGAACCCGGGTGTGATGGCTAAAACAGACTGTTGACCTGATTGGATGGAGAGCTGCCTAGGAGATTAGGAAAGTTTGTCTCTGGGTGTGTCTTCTGAGGGCCACAGAGATGATTAATTAGACCATGAGTTCTCTGACCTAGCTGATGCTTTAATCCACTGATGGACTGAGATTTTGAATAACCTTTTGGGAGGTGATGGAACTGTGGGAAGTGGGGCCACTTGGAAGAGGTTAGCCCCTGGGGATGTACCCTTGGGAGAAAATATATCATGCCAGACCCAGTCCTTTCCCTGCTTCCTGGCTACCAGGAGGTGAGTAGCATTGATTGTTCTGCCTCCCCATGGCTCAGAAGGACCAGAGTAGGAGACCTGAACTAAAGCTGAGGTGTGGTAAATCTTTCATCCTTGAAATCATGTCTTTCAACATTTGGTTCATCAAGAGAAAAACAAGACACTGGATCTTTCCCTACCCTCTTTGCAGAATGGAAAAGTATTCCTTAGCATAAAGGACATCCCTTATCCCAGGGGCAGAAAAACAGAAGAGAGTAGGAAAGGGAGACATGAGATGCAATATTTGTTGAATTCTTCAAAGCATCTGCCACTTGGCTAGGCACTGCATGGTTTAATCTTCTTTAATTCTCACAACACCCAAGTGCAAACCATAATTGCCCACATTTTGTGGATGAGTGTATTGAGGCTTAGAAATGGCAATTGATCTGCCCAAGGTCATGGAATGGGTAAATGGTGGATCAAGGATTCCTATCCAAATGGACCCAATTCCAAAGTCCAAGCTAATTAAAAATAAAATTTCGTGCTAAATTAAATAGCAACTCTTTCTATGATTCTATTAAAGGTAAGCTGTAGTAGAGGCCAAAATTTAAAAATAAATTTATAGTTGAAAAACTTAAAATTAAGACGATCATCAGTTAACTTCTTTTTCTGGGTCTCGAGAAAGGTATGCTATGATTGAATTTTAGCAGCAATGGACCCGCAACTCTTGCCTAAGTGCCATGGAGAGCATCGAATAAATCAGGAATTAGAGAGACCAGTGCAGAGCTGACCCAGGCTGAGTGCCCAGAGAGGAGACTTGCGTGAGAGCTTTCTGGGCATGGAGATCAGGCAGGAGGCATGGCCAGGTGGAGGCTGCCTGAGAGGCCAGTCTTGGCACCTGTCTGGGCTGGGAGTGGTGTCTGCCAGAAATGATCATATGTGCTCAAAACACAGGGGACCAGGAGCAGATGAAACTGTCACTTCTCTTCCTTGCTCACCACCCTTCAACGACTCTCCACTGTGGCCTAAACAAACCTTATAAGCCTTACTTAAAAAGCTATTTATTTAAATGGCCACATTATGCAGCTTGAGCCATTCTGACTCAGGAGATCCTCCTGCCTCTGCCTCTCAAGTGTTGAGATTATAGGTATGGATCACCAGACATGGCACACCGTAAGCCTTACTTTGACAGTCAAACTTCAGCATAGCCTGGGCCCAATTTGCTTTCATAAATCTGGTGCCTACAATCCCAAGCCCTGTGCATAAACTTTATACCCAAATTAACCTGCTCTACTTCCTATGAACTCAGTCCTACTTTGGGGTTATTTGTCCTCTGTCCTCCATTTTCCTTACAAATCTACCCACCAACTCCTTGCTCATTCTTCAAGTACACTACCAAGGTGCCTTCATGACAGTTTCTCTGAATGTTCACTCGGAAACATCATTTCTTTTTTTATTCACACTGACCACGTGATGCCTTTAGTTGTTGCTAAACATGTGTATGTTCCCCTATCTACTATGTGTATTCTCCTTGTGGGCAGAGGTGATAGTTTGTGTTCTCATGGAGAGTATATTAACCAGCATCTCGTGAATAGAAAAGGCTAAAGCCTTAAACCATGGTTAAGGTTCAAATTCAATAATTTCAAAGTACCCTGAACTTGCCTAAAAGTTAAGATACTTGAAACATTTTAAGAGCTAGACTTCTGGGATTCATAAAAAATACATATACACTCATTCACTCATTTACTGATTCCTTCAAGATCCTCCATGTAGGGCTGGAGGTGCCACGCTGTAGCCAGGCCTAGTCTATCAGCCTTTGGGTTCTGTCCTTGGTGCTGAAAAAGGAAGAAAGGGAGGGAGGGAGAGAGGAAGGGAGAGAGGGAGGGAGGAAGGGAGGGAGGGAGGGAGGGAGGGAGAAAAACGGAACAAAGAAAGGTGTCTTATTTTCCATTCCTGTATCAAAACACCATGACTATAAGCAACTTTGGGAGGAAAGGGCTTATTTGGCTTGTGATTCCTCGTCACAGTCCATCACTGGAGGAAGTCAGAACAGGAACTCAAGCAGGGCAGAAACCTGGAGGAGGCGGGAGCTGATTCCAAGGGCCATGTAGGGGTGCTGCTTACTGGTTTACTCCCACGACTTGCTCAGCCTGTTTTCTTTATAGAACCCAGGACCACCAGCCCACAGTGGGCTGAGTCCTCCCACATCAAACATTAATCTAGAAAGTGCACTACAACCTTTGCCTACAGGCCAATATGGTAAGGCATTATCTTAATTGAAGTTCTTCTTCCACTGTGACTCTAGCTTGTAGCAAGGTGCTGTAAAACAAGCCAGCACAGGGAGAATGAAAGAAGAAAGGAAGGAAGAAGGAAAGGGGGAAATCTTCATTGTAGTTTTTTTCTTCCTTTTTCTGGAAACTCGACTGAACCACCGGAGATACACATATTCCACTGAGATCGAGTCTGTTAGGAACCGCAAATGCCACAGGTCTTTAGTTCCCTCAAGGCTACCAGCTATTCATGCCTATGCACGTACATGCATTCATGTGTATGCATGTGTGTGTGTGTTCTTACATGCATGCATGTGCCTGGCTACAGAGTAGTCTTCTGAGTAAGGTTCCTGTCTCCCCTGTGGTTGGCTCAAGTCGAGGAAGAGAAATGAAGGATGTTGCTATAACAAATGGCTGGTCACAAGCCAAGTAATTTCTCCTGCTCTCCAGCCCCATAATATACTTGCTCATGACTGGAAGGAAGAGAAATTCCTGACCACAGAAAGCCACTTTCTGGTGTGCACAGCAGCCTTGGCACCTACATTATCTTTTAACACACTTGCGGGTTTGTAAAATTAAGTAAGCATTTTCCCAACTTAGATCAGTCATAGTCAGTTAGGGAGACAATCTTTCTGATGCTGGCCAAAAGCCAAGTGTTTCTCAGTGTAATCATTTTTTTTTGCATAAATTTAGACCTACATGATGAGAAGAAATACCATGATTGTCTTTCTTCTTTACTGGAAGTTAGAGAACATTTGCTCATTTATTTATTTTTGAAACAGGGTCTCACTATGTAGCCTAGGCTGGTCTCAAACTTGAGATTCTCCTGTCTCAGCCTCTAAGATTACAGGAATAGGCCACCCTACCTGATTCATAAGTCCCGCTTTAAGTAATAAGCCCAATGACTTTCCTTTTGCTGCAGGTATGCACAGCTGCCATGGGCTCTGGAATCAGGGTAGAGATCACTATTTAGTTCGGAGGTTTTGCTGTGGGCATGGCGAGAGAGGTGGAAAGACAATTTGGATTCTTGATCTTATTGTGTCTTTGTTTCCTTATCTGTAAAGCAACATAGTACTTTGTAGTTGTCTTGAGAATTAGATGGAGTAAACACAGTGTCAGAAAAAGGAAGCCATCAGCGGACAAGATCTAGTACTAGACTTGCAATTGCCGATGGTACTCCAACAACTCCACTAATTTGTGACCCACACCTCACTTCTTGCATAGGTCCTCCAGAGAAACAGAAACAATGGGACATATGGAAGAATGAGGAGAGGGATTAGCTCCTGTCACTTTTGGAGGCCCATGTCCCAAGATCTGTCGTCTATTAACTAGAGAATGAGGAGAGCCTATAGTTTCCAGTCCAATCCAGAAGGCCTGAGGACCAGAGGTGTCCATGATATCTGAAGGCAGGAGAATGTGCTTAGTTAAGCACAAGCAAAAAGCAAACTTATCCTGCTCCTGCCTTTTCATTCTGTCTGGGTCCTTGGTATCCTGGGCGATGCCCATCCACACGGATGAGGGAGTTCATCGCTGGTCTGCAGATTGCAATGCCAAGTCTCTTATGGGGTCATTCTCACAGACATGCCTATAAGTCATACTCTACCAGCTATCTGGGTCTATCTTAGGCCAGTCAAGTTGACACATAAAATCAGCATCGCATCCCCGAAGACATCAGCCCCATTTCTTTGCTGCTTTTCTCCAAATAACCGCTCAGTGGAGCTTTAACCAGAACGTAAAGCTTTTTTCTTCTTCTTAGTGTTTCTCATGGAATGTGATCCTAAGGCAAGCGCCCTTTAGCATTCAGATGTGAGCAATAAAAATTCACCAGCTTCTGACTTTCGAAAAAAATGCTGTGCTGGCTGGCTACAGGAAGCTTCTGGGGTAAAAATGTCTTACGGACATGTCTCCGTCCCTACCACATTTGGACAGGAAAAAAAAAAAAGGTTCCCAGTCCCTCTAAAGCACCCAATGAGGTTTGGAAATGAAATTCCAATACAGCGATTAGGTTATTGGCATTAAACTATGTCTCTGGCCTGCCTTCTTTTAATTATGGTTTTTCTTCTTTGCTATCATCAAATAAAAAAAAAAAAATCTTTGCCATGGTAGTCTAGCAACATTGTTAGATTGTCATTCTGCAGATTATATGGAGAGAACGAACTGTTCCCAGGATGAGTTTCAAGTAAATTTATGAGGCTATGGACAAATTGCCCATTATTGCTTTCCAAAAAAAAAAAAAAAATTAAATACTAAGTCAATTGACTAATTTTCAGCCTTCAAAAAGGAAGATCATCTCATGTATTTCTGGAGCTTCGAGGTTCATAAATCTTGCTGTCATGCAGGCTTCTGTGGACTGCGATGGTGAAGACTGAGATGACAGTGTTCTGTTCAACCCAGTGTGGAGATGCAGATGCTTCTGAAGGCCAAGGGTCACATACAGGAGTGTGGGGAGGAGTTGGTAAGGTTTTGGAACCCAGGACCCCTGACTCCCCAGCCCAGGCTTCTCTTTGTTACATTACTCTATAGTCAACTAGTTATGGGCCATTTAACTAACATTTAATTAGCTGAATGTGGAAATGGATAACCTTGAAATTAATTCAAGTTAATGTTAAATGTTGCTAACTTTTTATTAGTTGAATGTTTCCATTAACTTTTCCAATGACTGCTTCTCTGTCCCCCCTCACAGCAGTGAACAAAATTGAGTGAGTGTTCAATACGTATTATCGAATAAACAAATAGCTTAGCTAGCCCCGTTTGGCTGCAGGGTGGGGTTAGAAGGTTGAATCACTGAAGACGAAGTGGAGCATTTAATTCACCCTTTCATTTGTCAAGTATTTATTAAGTCTGCGGACGGCGCTCCATGGAGTAGACTATTGCACGCATGTGGCCCTTGGCAAGTTATTTAACCTCCCTGAGCCTCAGTTGCCTTGGCTTTCACAATGAGGGATAATGGTAGCACCTAACTTACAGGACTGTTAGGAGGCCCAAAATAAGACAATGTATTTAGGGAGTGTTGTAGAAGCTAGTCTTATGGGTATTGTAAATGGGAAGGATCATAATTAGCAATCCCTGTGTTAGATTCTCATGTGTGGTTCACACCCTAAGGATCTGGAGCCTGCAATGAAGGAGTTCAGTCAGCCAGCACAGAGGATGGGACAGAGGCAAATTGTGCTGCTGCTTTGCTGAGGTCTCAGCAGAAAATAGGGCCCTTCCCTTTACATTAGATGACAATGGGAGAAGGTCACCAGAGAGCCTGGGGAGTGGCCATAGGTCACACTCTACTTAGGGAATCTACTCAATATCCTAGGAGAGAATTCTGGGTCCTTAGCCCTTCAGCTAGCTGCCCAGGTCAGCCATGTTGTGGTTTGAACATGTCACCACAGGCTCCTACTTGCTAGCTCCTGCTTGTTTGCTCCTGCTGGAGGCACTGTTTTGGGAAGCTATGGAATTTCGGGAGGAGGGGCCCGGAGGGAGGAACAGGTGGCTGGGGAGGATGTTTGAAGATTTTACCCTGCCCCTACTGCTCTGTCTCCCTGCTTCCTGGTTTGCTTCCTGTGGGTTATCCTCTGCTCCACACTCTCTCCTCCATGAAATGACCTGTACCTGCTGTGATTTCCTCACCACGGTGGACTCACCCCCCCCCAAAACACACACACCCCGAAACTGTGAGACAAAAATAAATCAGTTTCTTTTCACTTACATTGCTCTGTCAGGCATTTTGTAATAGCAACGCAAAGTATCTGATGTCAGCAGTGAGGGCAGGATGCGGACACCAGGCCTGGGACACAGAGACGATGTAGATTTGTGTCCTAGAATGACAAAATGGGCACAGGGGAGGGCAGGGTGACCCAGTCTTCTCCTGGAGGCCCTCTGCCCCTCCCAACAGTGGAGGGAAGGAACCCTCCCTTCTCCTACCTCTGCTCCACCAGGGCAGGCTACCCCTGAAGCTGAGCACTGTGGAGGACAGAGCCACACCCCCATCTTCTGTCAGATACGGAGGGAGGAGTGTAGGCATAGAGGGAGCCTCCATTTCATGCCCTGGGGGCTGGGGAGCTACTGTGTGGATGGAAACCCCTGGACTGAGCTGCTTGAATGAGGAAACGTCTGGCAAACTCAGAGTTTGACACAACAGTACCACACAGTCACCCCGACCCCTGCTGGGAGAAGCATCTAGACCAGTGGCTCTCAAGCGTCCTAACGCTGGGACCTTTAATACAGTTCCTCATGTTGTAGTGACGCCAACCATAAAATATTTCATTGCTATGGCATAGCTGTAATTTTGCTACTGTTATGAATCGTAAGTATCTGTGCTTTCTGATGGTTCTGGGTGACCCCCAAAGGGGTTGAGAACCGCTGATCTAGGAAGATACAATGTAGCTTGCCCCCAATCTGCCAGCAACTGGCTTCCATTAGGAACAGAATCGGCAGGGGCAGTAGAGGGGTAGGGTGGGCAATCGTACACCATTTGCCACACTCATCCTCTCTGCTCTTCAGAGTCCCCAGGATTGGGAGGTGGTCCAGGCTCCACCTCCATATCCTGTGGAAAGAAAGCATGGGATGTCAGTTTCTGGGTGAATTTTCGAGGGAGTGTGGAGTTGATCTCTTGCTGTCCTGCCTGCCTGCTTGCTTCCCTTCCTTTCCCCATTTCTGCTTGTCCTTCTTCATATTGCTTCCCTGTCTGTGTGTCTCCTGGTCTCTCGTGTCTGTCCCCACATTTTCCTTCCCTAGCTGTAATTGGAGCAGTGATTCCCAGCTGGGGAGTCACAGTGTGCACTGGGAAGTGGTGTTTGGAGATAAGTGGCATTTTTGTTGCTGCAGTGACAAAGAGCCATTGTTGACTGTCATTGATCAGTGGGTAGGCGGTGAGAATGCTGGACTTCCAGGAGCAGGCCAATCCCATGTAACAAAGACCCAGCCCACCCCAAATGCCAGCCTTGTTAGATGTAGGGAGTGTAAGGGTTCATCTTGATTGGCAACTTGCCTGGACTGAAAGCACCTAGGAGTTTTGTAAAGCATGCTTCTGGGAATATCTTTGAGGGCGTTCCCAGAGGTGATTGGCAGATGAGGCAGACACTGCAGGGGAAAGATCTGCCTCGAATACGGGCAGCACTGTCCTATAGGATGAGGGCCTGGACGGAGAAGGAAGAGATCTGCCAATTAATGCTATGCTGCTCTCTGCTTCCTGGTCACCACGCCCTGAACCATCCTCTCTGCTGTCACCACCACCATGATTCTCTATCTCTCTACAGATTCATGGGGATGAAGTCAGCTAACTAAGGGTGAAAATCTCCAAAATAGTGAACCCAAATACATATTTCTGTTTTAATGTTTTTCTCTCAGATATTTGGTTGCAATGACCAGAAGTGGCCGGCACAGGGACAGCAGGATGAAGATACTTACAGGAGGCTGTTGGGCTCAAAGGGGCGTGGCATATGCTAATGAGGCTCACAACACAAATAAAGAATTGTAAAGATAGTTGTGTGGTCATGGCGTCATTTGTTGTTGCTGCAGCCGGAAAGATGCCTTCTGTCTAGTGTTTGGAGTACACTCTTATACAGGACATCGGGAAAGTGGGTAAAGGCTTCAAAGGCAAAGATCCCACAAACCGATAACCTCCTCACCCCTATGGTCAACACCTCACCTGTCTGAACTCAGAATCTTCTTGTTACCAATGTCCTGCCCTATTGGCTGTATGAACCCAGCAAGCACTGACTATTTGGGCGGTTGCCACCTAGGAATTAGGGTCTTTGCCCTAAGTTTGTGTTTCAGGGAGTTTCACTCTGGCCCCCTTCCTTCCATGGACCTTCAAATTCCCCAAACCAGTTCTATAGCTGGCAGGTTATCATTGAGGCCCAAGAAAAGCCCTTGTTTCATAGTGTGTGTGGCTAGCCCTCCAGGATGGGGCCCAGGGTTGCAGTCTCATTTTCTAGGGAGGCCCAGATCTTAACTATGATCACATTCAGTGTTCCTGGGAAATTACATACTTCCCCTTGATCAGATTTGGGACCATTCACGGTTCGCTCATCAGATCTTGGGTTTGCCTCCAATGGCTTCTCAGGTTAATTACATCATGTACACTTTATTGGCTTTTTACACATGTCCACATTCCTTCTGAGGACCCTTTGTGACAGATGGTGGCGGGGAGGAAGGTGTGAGTTCACAGCGGCGTTTCCATTACAGCTGTGAGTCCCTGTAGTGTTGCCTGCGTTGTCTGTTGTTCTTAGCCCCCACCCCGCATCATGTCTATCTTGATGCATTTTTTTGTCCCAGTGTCTTATTTATTCTTTTTAAAGAATCTCTACTTTTTTTGACTGGGTGTAGTGGCTCATACTTGTAACTCCAGGCTTTGTGAGGCTGAGGCAGGAGATTTCAAGTTAAGACCAGCCTGAGTTAACATTGAGATCTTGTCACCAAATAAAAACAAACTCAAGCCACAACAGGACACTACTTCTGCCTTTTGGGAACCAGGAAAAGGCTCACAGTCATAAACATATCTCATCAGTTCTATAAGGTCACTGCAGCTTCCACATAAACATTAGATATTTTGATGTTTCAGGCTTTGGTTCTGGCAGTTTCTTTGATCTTTTACTGACCAGTAAATTATTTATTAGGTCTGTCATAAAGGCAAACTAAAGCCTATAAACTATATTTGTAACATCACAAAAATCTCCGCTCCTATGTGACATCTCAGATGCGGACTGTGGTCCTGATGATGTGACAGGCCTGGACCTTTCCTTGATTTTTTTTAGGATCCAAAATGAAATTCTTTCTCCTCCTCCTCCTCCTCCTCCTCCTCCTCCTCCTCCTCCTCCTCCTCCACTTCCTCCTTTTCCTCCTCCTTTTTCTCCTTCTTCCTCCTTCTCCTCCTTCTTCTGCTGCTCCTCTTCCTTCTTCTCCTCCTCAACAAGGTCTCATGTAGCTTAGGCTAGCCTCAAACTGGCTACACGGTTGAAGATGGCCTCAAACTTGTGATCCTCCTGTTCCCACCTCCCGAGTGTTGAGGTTTCATGTGCGCCACCACACTCAGCCCAAAAGGTAGGGAGTGCTGGAGCTTTTACTCATGGCTTCCTGTGTGCTAAGCAGGTACTCTACCTGAGTAACACTCTTAGCTCCTCTTACAGACACCTGATACCTCCAGACCCCAACTCTAAACTCAGTCCCATGGGTTTATCAGTTCCTTGCACTTCTCTGACTGGGAGGCTGAGAAGATTCCTGTCTACCCTTGGAAACGCAACAGTGTTCAGTCAGTGACTCATTCCAACGGACATTGAGTTGCCAGAGGAGTTCACTGCAGCCTGTGCGTGTGTGTGTGTGTGTGTGTGTGTGTGTGTGTGTGTGTGTGTGAGCAGCCCCAGGCCAGCCCTTTGGC